TTTTAATACTTAAATTTGCTCTGGAAAGTGTAATGGAGAAAATTTTAGTTTACCCTCACATTTACATTTAGGTGTTTATAACTTCACTGTAGGATTTTTGTATAACCTTTGTTTGCTTACATGAAGTATGTGTATGTGTCAGTATGACCTGCTGAAAAACAGCTTAGCAAAGCCTAAGGATGTTTCACTATCGCTCAGAATGATGAACTCTCAGGAAGGCCAGCATCTGGGAAATGATAGTGGGAGTCTTCCCTGTCCAGCAGCAGCCTGGGTGAGACATACAGAGAGTTTGTGCGATGTTATAAAAGGGACACTGTGACGCCCCAAGGTTAGCGCTCTTATGACTGTATAACCGTGATGTTTTGATGTGTGCATTTGCTCTGCTGCATGCAGTAATAAAATAGCTTGACCACAGCTGACCTGGTTGCAGAGTTTATTAACACAAAAATCCACAGCAAAAGCAACTAGTTAAGTTCAGTTACTGAATATCATATATTTAAGTCCATTTGCAGTATTTTCATTTTTTCATTGTCATGTAAATAAATAAACAAAATCTTAAAGTACATTAGCTAAGTAAGATCATTTGGATTTCAGATGCAAAAGTTTGAAATGTATATGAAGTGAAAGCTCTCTGTGGCTGGTGATTGATGATCAATTACTTTCGCCTCCAAAAAATACCACACTGAGAAGTTAGCTGGATGTTTTCTGTTACCTCCGAGTGTTTTGGTGCAGAGTTAAAACTGAAAGAAGCAGGAGAACTGTGAACCTTTGTTGCAACAGTGGCACCTCGGCACACAGGAAACTACAGGTTTGATGACTATCACAGTAAGAGACGTCAGAGTTTCAACATAAAAAGAAACTTTGCATTCATGACTACAGAATTTGATGAGACATATTTCAAAAGGGGGCAAGGAGAATTCAAACATTAAACTTTTAAAGCCTAAATCATGAATTAACTGTCAGATAATTCAAATTAAACCATTTGGCAATAAAAAAATATATTTATTAAAAAAAAACATATGAATTTTATTGTGTATCATATTTGCTACATCCAGCGTTGTTTTGTGCAGTTTTTTTGCTTTAAAATGTGAAATTTATTTAGTTTTTTATTTGGGGGAGGAACCGCACTGATGATGTAGATGTCTCAAAAACACAAAAACTGTATGTATCAAATATGATACACTGGGCATTAAGAAATGGTAAATGGCCCGTATTTGTATAGCGCTTCATTAGTCCAAGGACCCCAAAGCACTTTACACATCCAGTCATTCACCAATTCACACACTGGTGCTGGCAAGCTACATTGCAGCCACAGCCACCCTGGCAGCCGGACACTGGCGCCACCGGGCCCTCTGACCACCACCAGTAGGCAACGGGTGAGGTGTCTTGCCCAAGGACACAACAACCGAGACTGTCCGAGCCGGGGCTCGGACCGGCAACCTTCCGATTACAAGATGAACTCCCAACTCTTGAGCCACGATCACCCCGTAGGAATTTGAGTGTTTAAACAGAAATGTATCAAAACTTAAACAAATCCATCTGAGTTGCTATCCTATTGGAAACATGTGGACCTATGAGCCTCCTCTGAGGTGAGTGTGAGTAAGGAACAACCATCGGGCTCACCAGCAGCAGGACTGGAGCAGGGTATTAGTACACACACACTGTATCACCCAAGTGCTGTAAGGATTTGTAAGGAAAACCTAACAGCACTACAGACACACTGCTTGACAGTCCCAGTATAAAATATCATTAAGATTAGGGAGAAGGAAAAGAATCACTGGACGTGATAAAACAAAGTCCTGTAATTAAACTCGCACAGTATGACTGAGTTTGATTTTTTTTTAAATAAAAACAACACTTTTGATTTCAGAAAATATGTAGCATGGATCTTTAACATTATTGATATTTATGTAGCTACGTATTCTTAACCACCAGCCCAGCAGATAGTTAACAGCAGCAGTCCTGTCCTGTAGTCCATACTGTTAAACTGCATGTCCTTAACTCGCTGTCAGCTTTACTGAAGTCAGATAAGTAGAAAAGAAATAAATCAGGCTTTTGCATCAATTCCACAGGAAACAAAAATGAATTATTCTAATATGCTATAAAAATGTACAAGTAAATATTAGTTTAAACCCTTATAAACTGTTCATACCATTCAAACTTTGACCAAGGTCCCCATAATAAGTTTCTGTTAAGTTCTGATTTTGATCTACATATCTGTGTAAATAGTCTGACCTCTGACATTAATAAATAATGATTAATCATTAATAAATCCCAAAAAGTTGATTCTGTTCATCTGGACATTGCGTTTTCAGTGGACCGTGGATGACAAACATTTCGTCACTCATCCATGGTCTTTGGTCAGTGGTTGTTGGTCAAAGTGAATGACTATTTCCATATTAATGATGAAGAAACTGATCTCAGAGCTCATTGTTTATCAGTGGTGCTAGTTTGAGTCATTGTGCAAATGTACTGTTTATAAGGTTGGGAAAACCTGCAGTCAGCTGAGACTGAAAATGTCACTCTGATGAGTTTCTCCCACTGAAAACGTTACGTCCAGATGAACAGAAACAACTTTTGGGGATTTCCTAACCTGGATGATTGAACATTTATCAAGACATCATTAATAAATGTTTCAGTGAACAGGGAGAATTTATTTAGGTTTAACAACACTTGTTTAGGATAAATATAACAGTGAGTGAGGAAGTTTGCTGACAAATTTCAAATTCAAATTTTAAAACTGGCAGTTCTAAAAATGTTTTGGTGTATGCAAAAGAAAATTATAATTCCCAACATTAGTTCCGATTATATTATTATTATTATTATGTTATAAAATAACATAGATCAAATGAGCACACACAAGATACGATTTTTAATGATATGAGGTCCTGATAATCCCGTATTATTTCTTTCTTTCGGTGCGCTGATCTTTAATAATTTTTCAAAGTGAACTGCAGAAAGCAAACTGAGCACTGTTTTGTTTTTCTGACTTGATTTGATGTGCTGAGTTTTTGTACAGCGTTTCTTCCTCTTGTGTCACTGTGACTCTCGAGCACAATAATAAACAGCTGAATCCTCAGTTGTCAGGCTGTTCATCTGCAGATACACCTGCTTTCTGCTGTTGTCTCTGGAGATGGTAAACCGGCCTCTGACTGACTGAGAGTAGGAGATCTCACTACCAGTATAGTAGATCCAAGCAATCCACTCAGGTCCTTTTCCAGCAGCCTGTCTGATCCAAGCAGCATGAATATCACCACTGAACCCTGAGTATGTACAGGTGAGTCTGTGGGAGTCTCCAGGCCTTTTAACCACTGATTCAGACTCTGTCAGTGTTTGGCTCTCAGTACCTACAGACAAACAAGAATAATTAGTGACTGTTTTCCAAGCTTATCATTTCACTTTCACAACAATGTTAGTAAAACGACTGCACTTCCCTTACCAGCCCAGTAAATTGAAAGGATCAGAAAAACAACCATAAACATCGGATGATTCATTGCCAAGGCCATTTGTCTCTGCTCCGTGTACAGTGGTGGTTAATCGTGTATTCCCTGTCTTATATTCTGCATCATGTCTTTAAACATGGTAGAGATCATAGTTTGCATCAGCTCCTCCTCCTCAAAGACAAACACACATCCTCTCCTTCAAGTCAACACTCCACATTTTGAATTATTCAGGCCAACCTTCTGACTGCAGAAACTATACTTTTTCCTCAGGTCAACCATTCATAAAATTTTTAATAAGCTGGCTTAACGAGGAAATAAAAACCTTAAGATCAAGGATCTCTTCTGAGAGATTGTTTTTCAGTGTTTGTCTGATATCAGACAAACACAGAATACTATACCCAGTTATACCAGTTATTTTTAATTTATTTTTATGTGGCTACGTCTCCTTAAACATTTTTTTTTAAATATGAAATAAAACCACATGACCTTATTTTCATTTGTTTTTTTTATTTATAGTTTTGACTAAACATTCAGCTACGTACACAAAGCTGTATTTGTGTACGCACACTCAGACATGACTCGCACACTGCTTAATATTCCTTACAGATGCAGATTTCCTTTGTTTGACCCAAAATCATAGATCTAAAATCCATCTGAACAGATAACAGTCGCATTTGACCCAGAAAAGAACAAAAACATTCTCAATACTCTTTATTAGTAGAAGTAACATCAGCCTGCTTTTACACACTCCTTTTGTTTCTGTTCATACTGCTCGCACAACTCATCAAAACAGCTGTACTTTTATCAGTTAGAACTCTAGAGCTCTCACTTTCCTGTCCAGCATTTTTAATGTTTTCAGTCAAATTACTTCAAACTATTTTCAAATATGTATGAGAGACTATATACAATAACACACAGTCAACAGCAGCAGTGAAATTGCTCTTCAATTTAAAGCAAATATAAACACGTGTTCTCAGAACAGGTTTAACTGCAACAAATCTTCAGCTGTTGCTCATCTGCTGAAAGGTTCAGATGTTCTTCTGCATATCTTGGTTGTATTGAGTGGTTATTTGAGTTACTGTTGATTTCGGCTCAAAGATGTCTGGAAATTTTCCTCTGACATCAGCGAGGCCTTTTCTCCTGCCACTCACTGAATATTTTCTGTTTTTCAGACCATTCATGGCAGGTCAGCAGTTTCTAAAACACCTAATAAAATGGCTGCTTAATGCACTTTATGTGATGTGATTGGACTATACGGTAGCTGTTGCTATAATCCCACATTATATCTGAGCATTGATTAATTACTGATTACCTTGAATAACAGAAGTAAAGACAAGGAGTCTTTAAGTTTTGTTTACCCAATTATTTTATTCAAGCGTTTGTTACTCATCATTTAAACCCACCATATTTAAACAGTTATGAGACTACAACAAGAGTAAGTTTCTTAGAAAAACATCTTAAATTCATTCATGGTCTTAGAGCTCCTCCTCTGGTGGCTTCATGCTACAGTTGTTCAGGCCCTGAGAGGTTTTTGTTCAGGGGTCTTAACAGTTTGTGTTACTGTGACTCTCTGGCACAGTAATACACAGCAGAGTCTTCAGGCTGCATGTTCTGACCATTTAGAGTCACTGTCTTGCTTGAAGTGTCCAAGTCAATGCTGAACTTGCTCTTTAGTGAATCTTTATAGTAAGAGCCCCCAGTACATTTCACACCAATCCACTCCAGTCCTTTCCCTGCAGGCTGCCTGATCCAACCTGTCAACAAGCCAAGAGAATAAGAGACCTGACAGGTGATGGTCAGACGCTGACCTGGCTGCAGTATAACAGAGGGTGACTGTGTCAGCTGCTCACAGTTTACACCTGTGGAAAAAACACATTGAATGCAGTTAAATTAAAAGTGTGTAGTTTTCATGCTGTCAGTGTTTGTGTTCAGTAAGACTCACAGGATCCAGCAGCCAGCAGCAGCAGCAGCAGAGCTACAGAGAACATGTTGGTGCTGAAGGTGATCTCCCAGGAGCTTCTATTCTTCTTTTGCAACCTGCAGCATTATATCAAGTCAGTGGGGGAGCTTACTTTGCATACAGATGGATGCTGATACATGATTAGAGATGCATTGATTGTTCAAGCACTAATAGAGACTGTGTTTTTAACATTTTTAAAAGATGAAAAACTTAAACAATGTTAAAAAATAACTCTGAGGTTGAAGGGTATTTCATTCATCAAAACCTGAATTTTAAAAGGAGAATTACAACTTGCCCCGTGACAGATTATTGACCTCTCCAGGGTGAACTCTGCCTCTTTGCCTTTTGGCTGCTGGAATAAGAATGAGAAAAGCAAGCCAAATATAATTTCTGATCAATGTTTAAGCCATTTATCTCTGCGCAGTCTACAGTGCAGACATCAATATGAGAGGAAGAGGAGAACTTCAGTGGTTACGACCTTGCTTGACTCTGTACGTTGAATCCATACAACAAGACAAAGTCTGACTTGATTGCTGATAAAATAGAAAGAAAAAAACACTTTTTGTCATTTAAAAAAATGTTATAATATTTAATGTACATGTAAATGTTATGTTCTATATCTCTGTACTTTGCACAGCTTATTGGTTTATAGATTGAAGTGTACAATATAATAAATAAATACAAGCTCGCAAACAAAAATATTTTTTAACAAAAGTAATTTATGTCATAAATTAATCAGTTTATAACAACATTGATCAGTGAATTCAGTTTCATGTACTGGCCTTTTATTTCAGAGCTTTATCAATACTTATAAACTCACAAAAAGGTTCTTGCTAAGGAGTTTTAAAAAGTAAACAGAAACGACAGGAATTTATTAGAGTCTTAGAGATTTTTCTTTCTGTGAATGTGACTGTGGTCCTGTAATACACATGAGTGTATTCGGGCTGAATATTCTGTCCATTTACTGTAGGGTCTCTCTGCTGCAGACTCCATAAATACGCAACATAACAGAACAGAGTTTGCATTTATATAAAATAGCACAGATTATTTTGAATCATTTTTCTATTCTGTTTTTGTATTGCATTGAATCTGAAGGAAAAGAAAATTACTGCATCATTAGATTGTAAAATTTGTTTTTCATAACAAATAATAAAACAAAATAAATAAAATAATAATAAAACCATTCTAACAAGTTATGAAAGGATAGGGTCTTTGCTTTGTGTCTCTTGAGGACATTAATAAACAGAGTTTTCTGATGTTAAGCTGCTCATCTACAGATACAGCTGCTTGCTGTTGTTTCCGTTGGAGATGGTAAACTGGTGCTTAACTGCTGTGAGCATAATTTGTTGCTATGACTACCTCGATCAAGAATAGCAACACAATAAGGAATTTCCAAATTTTTTTCTATTTTTGTTTTGAGTAAATAGACCCTTCAATTCATTATTGGTCTTGGAGCTCCTCCTCTGATGGCTTCTTGTTCAGGTCTGCTGATGTTATGTGTTACTGTGACTCTCTGACACAGTAATACACAGCAGTGTCTTCAGGCTCTATATTCTGTCCATTTACAGTCACTGTGTTGCTTGAAGTGTCCAAGTCAATGCTGAACTTGCTCTTTAGTGAATCTTTATAGTGAGAGCTCCCAGTACTTTTCACCCCAATCCACTCCGGTCCTTTCCCTGCAGGCTGTCTGATCCAAGCTGTCCAATCGCTGCTAAGAGAATAAGAGACCTGACAGGTGATGGTCAGATGCTGACCTGGCTGCACATTTACAGAGGCTGGCTGTGTCAGCTGCTCACACTTCACACCTGTGGAGAAAACATGTTTTATGTGACAGCACCAGTCAGTTTGCTGTGATCATCCTGTCAGTGTTTCTTTCCAGTGAGACTCACAGGATCCAGCAGCCAGCAGGAGCAGCAGAGCCACAGAGAACATTTTGGTACTCAAGATAATCTGATAAGAACTTTTCTTCTGCTTTAACTGACACCATGATTTCAAGTCTTTATAGCAGAGTGTCAGGAAGTTTGCTTTACACATAGATGAATGCTGACAGATTATAAGAAATCACACTGTGGCAATCAGTAATAACAATTTAAAAATGGAGATAATTCCAATAAAAAATATTATTTATAAGACAAATATAAAGTTTGATGTGTTTTTCATTCCTTAAAAACTCTATTTAGACAAGGCCGATGAAAATAGTCACATTGGCATGTACACATGGACAGACAAAATATTCAATGTAAAACTGGAGACAGAGTCTTCACAAAAACAATCTCACAGTGAAGCAGCTTTACTCAATCTTCCAGTATGTTGATGAGTTAAATGTCATCTCTGTAACTTCTCTGAAAATGATGTTTCTCACTCCTGTGACGCTGTGAGTCTCCAGCACAGTAATAAACAATAAAATCCTCTGCTATCAAGTTATCAAGAACACGAAAAAATATTTACATTGGTTGCATGCAATAAAGTTATATTTTCAGTTCCTGAAATCTTTACAGTTATCAGATCTTAATTTATCACACAGTGTTTATGTTTAGATTTAAACTGTTTAAACTGTTTGTCATTTAATCAAATTACTCTTATAAATATTCGCTGGTTAACCTGCTCTCAGCGACTGTCAATGATATGTGCAAACAAACAAAAACAGTTCTTTAAACAAACATCTATATTTTCTCAATATTGCATAATTACA